AATACCAGAGCCTAAAAACAATAAAAGACTAATCTTTAGACAGATTACCCATAAGGCCTGTCCGTGCCCCAGCTCTAATAAGCATTGAATTCACTTCGCTTCACGGCCCTGAGGTGCATGCTATTAGAGATAATTTTGCCAGCTGGCCTGTAATTTTAACTTTGAGATGAGATTTGCATTTTTAATAATAGGTAAGAGGCCATGAGAGGTTATGAAATAACTGAGTGATTTAGTATAGAATGAGAAGTGGTCCAAGTACAGATCCCAGTGGAACACCAGAGGATTGTTGGTGTGCAGATTAATTGGATGTTTTCTATGGTACTTGACAGGCTTAGTAATGAATTTAAGAGCTCTGCACTTTAGATGCCCATCTCATAGGATAGTGTGGTTTATGGTTTCAATTATTAAAGAAATATATTATAAAATAGAAGTACAATCATTGTGACATTTGGGGAAGTATGTCCTTCCTACGGATATAATGCATTGTGGTAGCATCTGCTAGTGCCAGAAAATAGATAGTGATCTCAATATTAAAATAGCCAACTTATCAGAGTTAGAGAAATCAGAGAAATTATGGGTAAATAAGTGAAAAGATTAAGAAAAAATTAGTGAAAGATTAGGAAAAGACATTCTCAGAAGTTCTCAGATCTTGCATCTTGGTTAAAACAATTCACAAGCTAAGGACAGACATTAAGCTAAGAAGAGAATTACCGATAAATCATTTTACTTCCTTGTCCAGGAAGCTGACATCTATATCTAGTTACATGAAACCTGTCATGCAGCATTACTGATATGCTTTAGGAAGAATGTATTTTCAGTAAAAGGTGTAACCGATGTATATAAAGAAACATGTTCCTCTGCATGACCAGACCAGCTTCCATCATGAAGACGCTAGTGTGTGCTCTTATTGTGGTGCTTCTCTGCAGTGCCTCAGGTAAGACAAAAGCTTTTCTCTTTCCATCTATCTATCCATTCATCCATCCTTTATCTTCCTGCTCAAAATGGGTTCGAGCTTACTGAATCATACAAATTCACAAATAAATAATTTCAATGCAATTTGTGAATTGGTTCAACTGATTAATTGAAAAGAATATATTCAAACTAAAGATTTGTTCATGAACCGGATATTGCTATCATGTCTCAGAGGAAAGAATATGTTTTTATGAAATGTAGTGGAGTAAATTGTCAAATATTACGCTTTGGAATGTAGTTAAAAGTTTTTCAAAATGCTCTGATGAAGTGCAGATACTTTCACCATTATTATCTATCTGTCTAATATGTAACAGTGCACTCGCTGACATGCTACACCTGTGTGGATGGGGACTGCAAGACCCCAACTCAATGCCCAGCCTCAAGCAACTTCTGCAAAACAGTTTCAACAGGTAAGCAATTAATATTAAAATTATTTATTCACTCAATTTTCAATAGTCATTAACATCCAATGAATCACTGAATCATCTTTGTATCATGATATACTACCTTTTGTTAATATTTTGAATTTGATTCTATTTTGTACTTTTTTAGCATTTTTTGTCATTTTTATTAGTATTTTTTTAATGTCTATATAGTTTTACTTTATTTAGTTGTAATTTTAGCTCTTCAACTTAAACTAAACAAAACTGAGAAATGTTGCCTTGGTAACTAGCTTAAATAAAATACATTTTTAAAAATATTTGATATATTTTAGTTAATGTTTATTTTATTTCAAGTAATTAAATTTTGGTTTCAATTTTAGTTTTTGTTAACAAAAATAACCTTAGTAACAGATTCATATTTATTACCCCTCGGTTGGTGATTAAAAAAGGAGAATGTCATTTCTTTATTAAAGGTCTGTATTGTAGAAGTTTAGATAGGATATTGAGCTGTTTTCTCGTTATGCTCTAAACCATAGCCACTGTGTTCAGCCGGACATGTGAGGAGTTCTGTGTTCCAGGAGTGAACGTCTACTGCTGCACTTCTGATCTGTGTGACTGATCTCTCAACGTCATCGAGTCATCGAATCAGTCACTAATGTTCACTGTAATAGCATAGCACAAAAAATATCCCTGGGTTACTCTAGGTGTTTAATTTCTCTAATGACCTTTTCCCAACTGAATCAACATGGTTTGCTTTATATAGCACTGCTTAAAGGAATGCCTAATAAGCTTGGTTTCTGTCCCAGCTCTGTATGATTTGATTTATGAATTAAATTTTGCTCAGTAAAATGCTGTGTATGGGTGTGTTCAGTATCAGAGCAATGTAGGTCATTCAAGAGAGATGTTATGATGCCATATGCGTCTGGATTAACTGATGCTTTTAACAGATGAGAAGACTGGAAGCTAAACATGCAGTCCAGGCACTAATATCTCTCACGAAATGCAAAAAAATGCATATCGAATGTTGATTAAAGGTGATTTAAAACATAATTACTTGCATGTTTCCATACAAGCTTAACTCCATTAGAGATGATGAGATGCTCTGTACACTTTATCAACCAATCACAAGTTTTAGTCAACAAGTTTATTGTTCAGTCTGTGTATTATGACAAAAGTAACTTTTGCACAAATAACTGTTGTTCTCATTATAGTATGCATAATAATACTAACTGTGATTATACATTTTTTCATTTACATTGCAGTCTTCTATACATGCATATACACATTATTTTAAAAATACCTTTACTCAAAAAAATCTGGGCTGCTTCTGATAATGTTAATTCAAACAAGGAAATGTGGGTCAGACGTGAATTAATCCTCCCGTCTTTATTTCTGTTTCCATGACTGCAGGGTTTGTTATTAAAGAGATTTGAGGATTTTCTTCCTTTAAAAATAACCAGCTGGGAACCTGCACACCTTCTTTCACACAGCGACCGGCACAGCAATTTATCTTGTCATGTTCTTTAATGGACAGCAAAAGATTAAGAGCCAGAGGCCTCAGTGTGTTGAATTGACATGGCATTTTTGTCAATTTACAAGTTCTAAGAAATGAGCGAGTGAATGAGCTGTCGTTTCTGAGAATCTGAGCTCTTTCGCTGATTAAGGGAGAGTGAGATTTCCAAGATTTGTCAAGAAAGAGGAAGAAAAGAGGGGGAACAGGAAACTTAACAGTGATGGATTAAACTTTAACTGAGCTGAGGTTGTAGAAAAAGGCCTTGTCATCTTGGATTGGCCACGGTCAAAGTGAATTCCAGTTTGCAACCCATTTTAGTTCTGCAATTTGAGTGTAATTTGACACTAAATGAGGAAAAAATGTTGGATGAGGCTTAATTGTATCTATTGCAAGCTGATTGGACAGTGAAAAGTGGGTGTTACCCACCAACAAATTGTTAAAATGATACCTAAATACCTATTTGGCAATAAATTATGTCAGCATAAAGGGAAGTCATTTAAGAGGAAGATACATTTTATTCATATAATAAAGATTGCAATTGCAACAATTACGTATATTAATTTGGAATTACACCACTAATGGATTGCACAATGGATTATGCATAATAAGGAACGTGCATTAAGAAATTAAATAGGCTTAATTTTGATTTCTTGTTGACTTTACAATAGAATCTGCTACTTGAATACTTCAGTAGCTACCTCAGAATATGCATTTGTAAACATGCAGAACTTATCATTAAATTCACGAGGGCACATTAATTATTTGAGTGCATTAGTTGTGCTAGTGCCAGACCAGCCATCACCTCAAACTGCCCTTTTCATTGCAACATAAAAGAAATTAACAGATTGCATAATTGGGCAAACTTCCAAAATCAAAACAAGCAGATTATCACTGAAGCAAATCAAATGTCTGATGACCTTCACATTCATCTGCGTGCACAGTCAGAGAGAAACCGTGAACACCTTGGTTTCATATTGACCCATTTTCTGCACCAGCTTAGACATTCCTGAAGCAGATTCACCTTCTGTCCTGAGGTCTGAAACGCTACGTTGTGCACCATAATCCTCTGGGTCTATTTCAAGACAATTCCAGATATAAGCGACTTAAGGACTGTTGACAAGACATCACATGCACTTTGGCTAAGAAACACTAGCTGTGCTAGCAGGTAGTGTCACATGCCAAGACAGCGCATCCTCAGCAGGGCAGATTTCCTCTTGCTGAGAATGGAAGAAAAAAGCTTTGCATAAGTGAATAAAGTTCTTTTTACAAAATGTCATTCCACACTCTTTGAGTAGAATGTAGAAAGTGAAACGGCACTTAAGGGGAAATTTCTGTGTGACCTGAGCTTTACAGTTCTTTCGATGGTGTAACCTTATGTAGTGAGGAAGATTCAGTCGTATTAAATACCATTTTTGAGCTAAAGTTAGTTCAGATGGTTCCACATGAAGTATATTTTAGGTTACCTAATGTATTTTACAGTGCAGTCAAGCTTTTTGAAGGTACTTGAATGATGAATTCTCCTAAGGGCTGTGCTTTAATGTCACCTTCATTTCCCTTTCCCTGTGGATGGAGTCATAACATGGTGCTCGGTTAATAAAATATTTCTCACTGCCATATTCAAGTATATTTCTATGTCACCAGCATGAAATAAGCTCCTTGTGTAGAGACTGCAGGTGTTCTGTTCCTATAAAACTTGTTTGTTTTCAGTCTAAATTTAATGTAATTTTTAGAGAAAACATGGCTAAATAAAATATTTAAAAATATATATATATTTTTTTTTTAAACATTTTTTTTTTGGTTTCAGTTGTCTGGAGTAAGTGCTGCATCCAAAAATGTGCAAATATATATATATAAAAAAAACTTTTACATACCTATGTACCACATTTTTAAATGAGTCCAGTGACTGGCATTTACAGTAAATTACGCAAATGGCTGTTGTGGTGACTGTCATAGTGCAAACAAAAGCTCTCAACCCAGTTCACTGGTAAGTAAACAACATCAGCATCAACGAGCTCAGAAGTTGATTGAGGGGCTGCCTGGAGTGGTAATGGTCCTCCACATCTATTGGATTAGAGGAAGGATGTCATTCAGTATTAATCTGTGAGCAGTAGGCAGCCTGGAACACTAAGCACTCTGCTCTGTGTCTGCCTCTGGCTTGTCCCATTGTTCATCCTGTGCTGTGGGCACTGGAAAGAAACCATACTTTCCAGAATGAATCTCTTCTGCTTTTCTCTGGTAAGTGATTCACCTTTTCTGCTCTGTGGTTTGTAGACTGACAGTGTGTGGATGAAACGTGACCTCCTGGAGGATGTAAAGGCAACATGTGACAGTGCATGAAGATCAGGAAGGAACCAAGCTTTAGCTGCTCACGAGGGCCTTCTGTTGTGCTTTCTTTTGGTTAAGAAGTCAAGTTATTAGTTTATTATGGCTTACATGTGTAGCCCTTGCATTAAATATACATTTTATTTATCTTACCTTCACAATATTTCATTATAATTTAGTTAAATTATTATTATTATTATTTTACTTTATAAAAACAAAACACATTGGTGAAATGTGTAGATTGAACTGAGTTTCTCTGCCAGATGCTGTGTTGTTTTGTGCAGTCTATGATTAATGGTGGTCTCGCTTTACTGAATTCACACTGGTCTGATCTTCTGTAAGCAAACTAATGCTTCTGGTTATTTGTGTCATCTTTTGCACAAATGGATTTGCGCTCAAATGCACTATAAACACGGTGTAATAAATCAGGGTCTTAAACAGGTGGTCTGTGACCCCTAGTGGATCTGTGGTTGTACTACATTAATTGTTTGATTTCTGACAAATTTTTGTTTAAAAAAAAAAAGAGATGATTTGCTTTAGACAAAACTACATTATGAACTTAGTTTCGACCAAAGCTAAAGTTAAAAAGCTTAAATTAAGCTAAATGCTTCACTGTTACACCCATAATACATTTTAGAAAGTTAATTTTAAATGCACTTGCGTATGCCACTGTATATCAACAATTATTTTAATGTTGATTATTAATTATTTTATATTATTATTATACTATATGCCTGTTTAAAATGCCAGGCTTAAAATGTAACACTTAATTTTATACAAGGTATAAACAGGCTTATTTTAGTATCTTTTTAGTATCTAATATTTTGAAAGTTTTTTTATTTTTAGCTTTTCTGTTTATGTTCATTTTAGATGAAGTTTTAATAATTTTGTTGTTTTTTGTCATATAGTTTATTTTTATTTCAGTTTTATTTATTTTAATACAGTAAGATAAACTAAATGAAAATGACATTTTAAAGTTTTAGTAATTTTGTTCTGTTTTTGTCATTTTATTAGCTTTTAAATGTATTATTTTTATATTTCATTTAATACTTTTAGATTTTTTATTTCAGTTTATTTTATTTCTAGTAACAAATTGTTTTAAGATTTTAGTGTTAGTTAACTATAATAATCATGTTTGTAACAAGGTCCGTCGGGGGGATTGAAGACCCTTGTAATAAATCAGATATTTAGTGAGTCTTACATACATTTTATTAGCAGTGTGGGTTGTGACCGGCATGATGTTGTTTTGTAGGAGGGCTCTATGGACAGTCTGTACGAGGCCATGCAGGAGTCCTGTGAGGCTCAGGTGTACACCATCCCCAGCAGGTCCTGCAGCCCAGCTGTTCTCTCAGACGACGCCACCAAATGGAGAAGTGCGGGCCGTTCCATCTCCATGGTAACTATAGAAATGACTACTGGAATGTTGAATCCGTATACTGCACTGTCATGGGAAATGTATTGGCCATCTGGACGCACGCTATAACACTGCTGTGGACATAATGAGCTACCATTAAATGAAAGCTGCTGCTAATAGATTGTGCTGTAACCATATGGAAATATATTAAGGTCTATTTGAGGCCTGCCTATGAGAGAGAAACCTGAAATGACAGGCCTGCGGAATCTTGAGAACACGTTTCACATAATTTCACAATTTCAAATAAATATATACAACAACACATGACTCTGCATGTTAAAGTTTCTAGATCAAATGACCAAACTGCCTCATACTGTATTTGTTTACAGGAAATTTCACAAATCAACTCAGACAACACTAGAAAAAAGAAACAAAGGTGAGTTCAATCTGTGTTTTTAGTGAACAAAGAGAAAAATGTTGAACTTCTTGTCAAAGCAAAAGTGAAAGAGCCCTTGAGGCTTTCACACCGACAGAGAATGCAAAATGTACTCTCTGTGAATGTTTGTACTTTCTTTAAATGTTTCCTTGCATCTTCTTTCAGTTCACTACCAAAATCTGTTTCTGAAAATGAAGCTTTAGGTATGTGATATTTTGAGAGATATTTTATACATTTCCTAAACTAATTCTTTCTGAATCACATGACTAAGCTGCAATAGTACTGTACACCCTTGTTATGTTTTAATGCTCAACTATGTTGACTGACAGCCAACCAGTAAATAGATAATGAAAAAGAAAGGTACAGTGTGTATCAGATCATTATGAACATGAATGAAAGGACAAACCAGATTTTCTACATTTTCTTGCCTTTAAATGAGATTTCACAGAGTGAAAAAGTAAAAGCATGGAAAATTAGTGAACCATAAATGAACAAACCCCTAATGGAACTGATTTCTCTCCTGCAGATAATACCGTCTGCACTAATTCTGTCTGGCCCAGTGCCAAAATGCAGGAAGATTTAGTCCTCCTGAGGAAGAATCAGAATGAAGGTAAAATCGGTCTGAGAATTTGTAGGTTAAGTCCGACTAGATTTCATTTACAAGACACACACAGCTAAGCAACATCACTTACTATTGGCCAATCAGATGGCCCTGCGTCTGCGTCAAATCCAACTGACAGTAAATGGACAGTGTTGTGCAGTCGTCAGCTTACTTAAAGCACTTGCCTGTCCTGTGTGGGATTAATTAAGAAACAGCAGGGTCTTAATTGTAAATAGGGCACTAGACTTCAGCCTCTTACAACTGTTGAGGACCTTCAAAAGACTTCTTAAATCAACATTCAGTATTTTAGGTTAAAATGTATAGGGGAGAAGTTAATATCTTTAGTCTTATTCTCACCAATTTCAAACATCCTTTTACCTATTAAATGGCCCTGTGGTGTGATACAGTAGTTTTAAAAGTAAAAATGTTCCATGTAATCATTCAAATATTCCACCATAATCAATTACTATAATTATAATATCTCAATTATTATAAATGAATTATTATTATTTTAGGTTTATAAAAGATTCATAATAATTATAAAATAATTGCTAAATGTTTTAGATGGTGTATAGTATGTCACAACATAGGACATGTCAATTTCAATGGCAACTATACATTCTAACAAAGTTATCAGATTTTTTGTAATGTAACAATCTAACTAATGTTAAATGTAGTTTAGCTTAGAGCTTTTGATAAAATGACAATGTTCAAATATTTTAATCTGTTATTTTTAAAAGATAATGAAAATAATATAAGCATAGTCTAATTTGAATTTCAAATGGTGGTGCACATTTATTTTAAGGTAATAATGCTGTTGAACCTGTCTGTATGGATGTGCCACATTTCCTTGACTAAGCAGAGTAAAATCACCTGCCATGTGGTATTTCCCCTCGTCAAAATACGTGAAGAAGCAAAACAGGAAACGTGTGCAAAACCACATAAGTTTTCTCATAAGGAATGTACTATTTTGAGCTCTACTTTGGTTTACCCTTTTTGTTTGTCTAACAGAGATTCTGTAATGTCTTGATAAAATAAAACTTTTTAAAAAAGCAAACGTTTTATATAGTGACTTGGTTGCTAATTGCCTAATAATTAGATTGAATGTGCTTAAATTTCAGATATGGTGAGAGGTATAAAAAGGGCTAAAAGCCAGACAACGGCAGACAGAAAGACCATTTCAAGAAACATACAGCAAGAGATTCCTGTCCAGGTCGGAAACACATGACATTTGTGTCTAGCTGAGTTCTGTTGGTAGAATTAGATAAATTAGATAATTTATTTATTTTCATAAATTTTTCTATTTAAAATGTTAATTCTTTCTTTGGTAGATTGTCTATTATGAGGGGTGTAATCCAAACCAAGATCAGCTAAGAAGCAGACAGAATGGCATGGTGAGTTCAAGCCCTGTCCTCCCAGGTGCTTTGTGCCAGCTGAAATGAAACTGATCGTCATTTATTACACAGAGGCTGGAACAAGAGTTGTCCCTGTACAGGGTATCGTGGTTGATTGTGTCTGTACAGATGGTTGGGTGAGGGGCACGTTCTGCCCATATAATCCCTTTGCCCACATGGCATTAGAGTCAGTCATGATGGCTAAATCTGTAATGTGTTCACCAGTTTAGTACTCCATCAATGGACTCACTGTTGAGAGTTATCAATATCATTGTTACGGGGTGAACGAGATGAGACGTGCGGATCCATATGCAAGGCTTCTATTTACAGACGTAGTCATAAAACAGGCATGGGTTCAACAATGGCAAACTGGTATATCATGGGCAAGACACAAGAGTAATCCAGAAACAGGCAAGGGTCAATCGACGGCGAACGTAATCCAACAGGGCAAGGCAAACGGGTAATCCAACAGACAAACAATAATCCACGCGAGGTGCAATCGGAGTCCAAACAACAAAACGAGAGAGAATTCCAAGACGGGCAGAAGATCAGTAAACAGGCAGGGCAACACGAAGTGACTAGACTTAGACTAGAAACTAGAATAGGAAACTAGGACTGGGAACTGGCTTCGTAGAGTAGCTATCACTAGGTAAGCGATAAGCGCTAAACAATACTCAGCAGTGAGAGAGAGGAAGTCCATGGCTTATGTAGGGTGTGTGATTGGCAGCAGCTGTGTGTGTAATCAGTGCAATGGATGCTGGGACATGTAGTCCGAGTCAATGTAATGGAAGGTTGACCTCTGGTGGCAACCGGACAGAAGTCCATGGACAGGATTCATGACAATCGTCAGCATAATAAGGGTGTAGAGTAAAAAAAATAAAAATTTTATCATAAACCTAAAAAATAAAAATGTCCTTATAATTATGTTTATATATTAATGTTCCTATAAATTGGAATTATATGTAATTATTTATAATAATTATTTATTTTATTTATTAAATTATTTTATTTAATATGCATGCATGTACTGTAGGTATTATTTAACAATGTCATTTAATTATTATGTCTACTCTGTTGACAGCCTGAGACAGCAGTTGCAGATGTGACACAGCTAAGAGGGACATGGATGAAAAAAGTAGAGAGGAAAAGCAGTAAGAGAGGAACTTCAACACAAGAAACAACATGTAAATATACCTATTAAACCTGATGCAATAGCAGTTACTTGTTTTGTGGTTTTTTTATTTTAATCAAAAGCTGTTTTTAATGTCAATGACATATATTGATATTTGTATCTGTGTCTTCCAAAGCTCACATCAAAGGTGTCAAAGGAATGATGTGTGACACTGCTGGGGGGTCAAAGGTCACAGAGACAGCACCCGCCAGACATCGCTGGAGTAACCCCACTGAAACAGCCTTAAACTGGGTACCACCCAACAACACCTGTCTACCTCCCTGCAATGAATATCGAGTTCACATCTGTGACTGGACTACATCGACAACTCCAAGTCAAGAAGATAAAATCAACATTCGAAACTCGAAGAGAGACTCCTTCACCAAAGGAGTGTTGCGTTCTAGCACCAGTGTGGATTTCTGTGCCTCCAATGTAAGTCATTTTTGCTATATACTATCATTCAAAATTTGATATATACTATAATTCAAACGTTTTTTTTAAATGTTGTTGGAAGAAGTCCCTTATGTTCTCAAGGCTTCATTTATTTGTTTACAGTTTAAAATAACAGTTTTCTATATTAGTATATTTCAGTTTTCAATTTTCAGCAGCCATTATTTCAGTTTTCAGTGTCACATGATTCTTGAGAAATCATTCTAATATGCTGATTTGGTGCTCAAGAAACAAACACTATGAGCTGTAAGGTTTTATATAGACAGGTGTGTGGCTTTACTAATCAAGTCCAGTCAGTATAATCAAACACAGCTGGACTCAAATGAAGGTGTAGAACCATCTCAAGGATGATCAGAAGAAATGGACAGCACCTGAGTTAAATATATGAGTGTCACAGCAATGTGAATGGATACTTAGGACCATGTGATATTTCAGTTTTTCTTTTTTAATAAATCTGCAAAAATGTCAACAATTCCGTGTTTTTCTGTCAATATGGGGTGCTGTGTGTACATTAATGAGGAAAAAAAATAACTTAAATGATTTTAGCAAATGGCTGCAA